CGGTGCTCATACTCACACAGGTGCTGAGAAAGCAGAGAGCCCTCGCAAGGTCTCGTAGCTATGAGACAGAAGACCCGGATTCAGTCAGCTCCTCAAGTGTGCAAGCCTGGTGCGACCTCAAGCAAGGCAGGCACCCAGTTTTCCCACCTGTGTTAAGGTGAAGGTCATCTCACCCTGCCTGGATGATGGCAGGCATCTTATGGGATATCATGCAAAAATGCTTCGGTCCTGTATAAATACAAATACAGTTAGCGACGTTTCTCACCAGCCTGAGGAAATCCAAAGGGAACATGGGGTTTTATAGAATTGATTATTAAGAGTTTGAGATATGAGGATTACATGAGATGCAAGTATATGACAGATATTAGGGGAGAAAAAAGGTGCCCCAAGGTCAGTGCTTAATCCACAGGAATACTACCACTAATAATAACACTAATAATAATGACTAGCATTTATTGAGCACTGCGTTAGGCGGAATGATGTTCCCCAAAGATGTCCACATGTTAGTCCCTGGAACCTGTGAATATGTTGCCTTCCATGGCTGCATTAGTCTGTTCAGACCGCTGTAACAAAGTACCACAGACTGGGTGGCACGAACAACAGAAATTTATTTCCTCGCAGTTCTGCAGGCAAGAATTTCAAGACAGGGATGGTTTCTTCTGAGGCATCTGTCCTTGGCTTGTAGAGGCCAATGCCATCTCCTTCCTGCACCTTCACTTGGTCTTCCCTGTGTATGTCTGTGTCCAAATTTTCTCTCCTTCTAAGGACGCAAGTCATTTTGTTTTAGGGCCCACCCTAATGATTTCATTTTAATGTAATTCCCTCTTTAAAGTCTCTGTCTCCAAATACGGTCATGTTCTGGGGGCTTAGGACTTCAACACGTGAATGAGGGGTGGGGTGCGGGGATACAGTTTAGCCCATAACAATGGCAAAAGCAACCGTACAGATGTGATTAAATTAAGGATCTTGAGATGGGGAGACTCTCCTGGATGATCTAGATCAGCCCAGTGCAATCAGGAGCGTCCTCGTAGGAGGGAGATGGGGCGGTGCTGTGCTGCTGGGTTTGAAGGTGGAGGAGGGCCATGAGCCAAGGAGGGCAGACAGTCTCTAGAAGCTGGAAAAAAACAAGGAAACAGATTCTCCCCTGGATTCTCCGGCAGGAGCACAATCCTGCCGACACCTTGATGTTAGGACTTCTGATCTACAGAACTCTAAGATAATACATTTATGTTCTTTTAAGCCTTTGTGTTACAGCAGCAATAGGTAACTAATACCAGAATGTGCATTATCTCATTTAATCCTCACAATAACTCTGTTATCCCCGTTTTGCAGAAGAGAAAAGTGAGACATGGAGAGGTTAACACTCTCCCAGAGCCATACGGCTCATACGTGAAGTGACCAAAATGGGCTTTGCACCCTGATGGACAGGCTCCAGAGCCCATCCCCTTAACTCCTGTAGCAGCCTAACGAATGAGTGGCTGATTAACTGATGGTGAGACTATGGGCAGCCAGGCTGCCCACTGAAGCCTCTGAAGGCCTCTCAAGTCACCCCTACCCCTCCTCTGTCAGCCACTGGAGGCTGGTCACAGCCCACACCCATCCACACACACATAGCAAGGACGACTACAACATCCGTACATCGCTTTCCACCCTTCGACAGGCTTTTCACGGCACCAGCCCAACACCAGCAAGGCTCAGCTGCCCAAAAACACATGCCCTTCCACCTGCAGGGGGGGATCCTAGAGTTCCGCTGTTTGATCTTTTCCACCTTTTTATCCCTCCTGTGACTCTCACTTCTAGCTTTGAGCTGCAGAGGATTCGAATCATGGACTTGGAGGGAGTTTTAGGGCCTGAGAGGCTCCACTAGTCCATTCACCAGGAACCAGGTCCTCACCTAGCATCAGTCCCTCCGTTGTTCCCACAGCTCAGGAAGCTACCTGCTGGGAGAGGCTGTGTCACTGCACACTTTCCAAAGCATGCCGACTCCCTGCCAAGGCCACCCTCTACCACCGCACCCCCAATGAAACATCTGTTTTCTATTCTTTGTTGGGAACAACTTGCGCTTGAAGCCCGGGGGTAGAGGGGAAAAGAGGCAGTGGCCCTTTGCTGGGCTTTCTGTGTCCCAAACAGCTCTCTTTTATTTTACTTTTAAAGAATGATAACTAGTGTAGCTTTGTATTTGCTCAGCCCCAAAGACCTCTGTCCTCCCCCCCTTTTTTAAACCCAAATCTCCCTTCAGTTTTTCCCATTAGATTATTCTTTAAAAAAAAACAAAAAAAACTATGGAAGTCAAGATATTTATATGCAATGAAATTCACTCATTTTAAGTGTACAGTTTAATGAATGCTGGTAAATTTACACAATTGTGTGACTGCTTCAGTCAACATGGTGAGTGTTTCTTTTCTGCACCAGAAGTTTCCTTGCGCACCTGGTGAGTGTCCCCCAGCTGCAGCCTCTGGTCTTCTTTCTGTCACCCTCGTTTTGACCTTTCTAGAATCACACAAGAATGGAATCATAGCGTGTAGCCTTTTGTGTTTGACGTCTTTCCTTTAGCGTAATGTGTCTGAGGCTTCTCCATGTCATCGCATGTAGTCTTTCGGTCTCTCTCATTGCTGAGTAGTGTTCTAGGGAAAAAAAACCCCACAGTTTGTTTATTCATTCACCACATGATGAATATTTGGATTTCTTCCAGTTTGAGCTATTATTCATACAGCTGCTACGAGCCTTCACATACACACATAAACATATGTTCTAGTTTCTTGGGCAAATTCCTAGAAGTGGAATGTGTGGCTTGTATGATAACTTTATAAGCATGATTTATAAGGAAGTTACTTTGTAAGTATGATTTAACTTTATGAGATACTTCCATAAATTTTTTTTTCCAAAGTGGCTGTACCATTCCCACTAGCAACGTTCATATGTTCCAGTTCCTCCCATCCTCACCAAAACTTGGTGTTGTCATTCTTTTATGATTTTAGCCATCTAGTGAGTAGACAGCAGTATTTCATTATACTTTTTATTTCTCTGATGGCTAGTGATGTTGAGCATCTTTTCACAGGCTTGTCATTTCTATATCTCCTTTTGTGAAGTATCTGTTCAGTATTTTACCCATTTTTATTAGGTTGTTTGTCTTATTACTAAATTGTAAGATATATATATATATATATATATATATATATATATATATATATTGGATACAAGCCCTTTCCAGATGTATGTTTTCGAAAAAATTTTCTCCCAGCCCCCCATGGGCTTGCTGTTGATAAGAGATACAGTTGACCCTTGAACAATGTGGTGGATGACCCTTCCCACACAGCAGAAAATCTGTGTATAACTTTTGGCTCCCCAAACGCTTAATTAACTATTACAGTTATCCCTCGTTATCCGCAGGAGATTGATTCCAGGACCTCCCGTGGATACCAAATTCCATGAATATCCACATCCCCGGTATATAATGGTGTAGACCAGCGGTTCTCAACCTTCCTAATGCCGCGACCCCTTAATACAGTTCCTCATGTTGTGGTGACCCCCAACCATAAAATGATTTTCGTTGCTACTCTATAACTGTAATTTTGCAACTGTTATGAATCGTAATGTAAATATCTGATATGCAGGATGTATTTTCATTGTTACAAATTGCACATAATTAAAGCATAGTGATTAATCACAAAAACAATATGTAATTATATATTGTGAAATATTTATAATTCATGAAGTGTCATTTTACCTCCAATACTGCTGCTTTCAACACAGCAGCTGCTCTCTACACAGTAGCTGCTCTCTACACATGTGTGACTGGTCCGCATAAGTACATTATGGCGCCAACCCTGTCACATACACCTGTATTTGTATGGAGTGTATGTAATGTGGTTGGCGCGATGATGTCATCACGCCGGGTACTCATGTGGGCGTATCTGCATGTGGGCGGACCCCCCTGGAGACGGATAGAGGAGCGGTGTCTCGGTTCCTAAGACCATCGAAAATATGTGTTTTCCGATGGTCTTAGGCGACCCCTGTGAAAGGGTTGTTCGACCCCCAAAGGGGTCGTGACCCACAGGTTGAGAACCACTGGTGTAGACCAATGCACACAGTTGGCCCTCTGCATCCACAGGCTCCTATCCGCAGATCAAAAACAGTACAGGTGTTTAGTGAAACACTCCACATGTAAGTGGACCATGCAGTTCGAACCTGTATTGTTCAGGGGCCACCTGTAATGATGTGGTTTGGGAAGAGCCCTGGGGCCATGCTGCTTCCTCACTGTTCCTTCTTGGGCAAATCCCTTCCCCTCTGTGAGCCCCGGTTTCTTCATCAGTAAAAGAACAAAAAACCCACCCTGCCTTCCCCACAGTGTTGTTAGGGGCCCTAGGAAGAGTTGTGACCCTAAACGCATTTTGTAAACTCTTCAGATCTATACGTGGGTTAATACTGTTGTCAAGTTGCTGTTGAGTCTGAACCCCTTCTGTGTCCCTGCCCTCGGGCTGTGCATTATCCAGAAGGAGAGCAGGGCAGGCCAGGCATGCCTCCGTCAAGGATGGATTACCAACGAGGAAGCAGATGGCATTGTGAGGAGCACCCCCATGGGCTTCAGGAGGAAGGAGATGCCCACTTGTGCACCCACCATGTCCCGAGTGTCTCCTCTGTGCCAGGCCCTGCCCTCAGCACTGGGAACACAGCTGGGACCCTCGCAGAGCCTCCAGGCCAGTTGGGACAATCAAAGAGTGAACACTGATTACAGGGCTGTGTGGATCATGTCCTGACAGGAGAAGTAGAAGGGATGCCCAGGATCGCAGCAGGGGCCTCATCATCCTTTTGGAAGGAGGGTCACAAAAGGGTCGAAGCTCAAAGGCTGGAAAGGAGTCAGCCAGGAAAAAGGAACAGCATGTGTAAAACCATGTAGCCCAGCCCAGCTCATGCCCTGTTGGATCCTGGTGCTTTGCAGAGAGCCCCAGTGGTCACCACCAGGACTCCCATAACATCCAGTGACATGTTATTATTTCCAGGATCACCCAGAGGTGGCAGTCGATGGAGTTGAGTGCCCCTTTGCAGGCGTTGGCTGCTCCTTCAAGGTAAGTATCTGAGTGTGAGAAAGTCCACTCCAGTCCTGGACCACTGGGTCTCCCCACTTCAGCCCCTCCAGGATTTTCCCACAACATCAAGCTACTCCTCTGGATGTCCCTGACGTTAATGCCTTTCCCAAGCAACAAATCTCACTAGTAAATCATTTCCGTACTCAGGAAAGTTCTATATGTCTCATCTCAATATTGTAGCATCACTGTAATGACCCCCCAACTCCCCATGCCTCTCTCCATGGTCCTGAATGAATACTGTGCTCAGACAGGGCACAATTGTTGCTATAGAGGCTGGGGTGCACACGGCTCACTGTGGGCATGTCTGATGTCTGGGTTCTCTGAATTCCTCTCCCTGCACACAAAGCAACTTCCCCTTTGCTGGGTGAATGGATCTAATTTTCTTTGGGAACCTTTGGTGGCAGGACCCTCCACTGCTCCCGGGTACTCCCTCCACCTTCTTTGTTTTTACTGATCAGCCCCATTCTCTTGGCAGGGGAGCCCAAAGCTCATGCAGGAGCATGAGATCACCTCTCAGGCCACCCACCTAAACCTGCTGTTGGAGTTCATGAAACACTGGAAAGCCCAGCTGGGCTCTGGCCTGGTGTCTAGGCCCATAGCTCTGGAACAGAACATGTCAGACCTGCAGTTGCAGGGGGCCGTGGAGGTGGCTGGGGACCTAGAGGTGGACTGCTATCGGGCACCCTGCTCCGAGAGCCAGGAGGAGCTGGCCCTGCAGCACTTCATGAAGGAGAAGCTCCTGGCTGACCTGGAGGGGAAACTGCGCGTGTTTGAGAACATCGTTGCCGTCCTCAACAAGGAGGTGGAGGCCTCCCACCTGGCCCTGGCTGCCTCCATCCACCAGAGCCAGCTGGACCGTGAGCACATCCTGAGGTTGGAACAGAGGGTGAGTGTGAGAGGCAAGGTTACCTTCAGGGCTGGCCCAGGGGGTCCCCTCTGGCCCCTCTTGTCTCCAGACCGGTGGACCAGCCGTCCTCCTAAGCATTCTCCCTGCTCAGAGCACTCACGCCCCAATCGGAGAGTCTCTCTCCTGTGTCCCAAGGTCTTCTAGGAGGTGCACTGAGTCAGAAGTTATAGTCAAAGTCAACCCCCACCCCCTACCCCCAACCAGCCAATGCTTCATTTCCTTTGCTTGAACTTTTCCTGTAATAGGATACTCCCTCCCCAAGTAGCTCACTCCATTGCTGGACATTCTTTACTATTAGAAAGGTCTTCCTTATACTAACCTGAAATCAGCCTCTCTGTGCCTTCCCTGCATTGTTCCTGGCCCTGCCCTTCAGGATCCACAAAACAAATCTGCCTTCTAGTCCCCACTGAAGCCCTTCAGAGATGAGCAGTCAGTGATTATAGCCTACCTGAGTGTTTTCTTCTTTAGGCTAAATGCCCCTAATATTTTCACGCCTTCATCACAGCACATTGTTGCATGCCGTTCTCATACGCTCTGGCTCAGTCTCTAAAGGATTCCACACATTCAGAGTGGTGGTACCAGACCGACTCCAGATAATCCACTTATCTGACAGTTCTTGGTTGAGCAGAGCTGTCTCCTCCTTTGTTCCAGAGCTTATACTTTTCTTAATATAACCAGTCACCATGTTAATATTGCTGTTTTCTTTTCTTTTCTGCAACATTACATCACTGTCTCATGTTGATTTAGGCCTGAATTTTAGTTGCAGCTACACCATTAACTTGCTGTATAGGTCTAAGGAAGTCACTTTCCCTGTCAGGACTTCAACTTTCTCATCAATAAACGTAGGGATTCAATTTCTTTAAGAACACTGACTTCCACTCCTGACTTCCCTACCTGAGAACACCCAGGGATAAATTTGTATCCTTTCAAATGTCAATGGGAACCTACCCGAAGAGCCAGGCGCTGGGTTCAGGTGACCAAGTAGAGCATTTATGTATGTCACTCTTGCCCCAGTTAGGAGATGGACTCCCAGAGGGGAGTGACCATGTCTTCAGTTTATCAACAAACTTCCTGGCTCCACTCTTACATGCCAGGCACTGTGAAAGGCATGGACACAGAGCAAAAACAAGCATGGGCCCAGACCCAGGTAGGGGAGACCATTAGGTAAGAAAGGCAGAAAAAGATATCTCATAAAACTGCTATGTGGGCTCTGTAAGAACAGAGAGAGAGAGAGAGAGAGAGAAGAGCAGCAGCAGCAGCAGCTGGGCTATGGCAGTGGTTGAAGGCTTCTCAGAGGAAGGGCTGTGTGAGCCGGGTTCCTGGCGTATGAATAGGAGTTGGCCAGTGGAGAAGGAAGGAAAAGGAATTCCAGGCAGGAGGGACAGTGCGTGCAGAGGCAGATGCATGTGCCTGAGGGTGACATGGTCAGGAAGGCATATTCTGGGCAGAACTGTCCCCATAGCCCACCATCCCCACCTCATCCCCACCCCATCCCCAAGCCGTGTCTGGTGCCCCTGGCTGAATGGGCTCCTCCACAGGTGGTGGAATTGCAGCAGACACTGGCCCAGAAGGACCAGGCCCTGGGCAAGCTGGAGCAGAACCTGCGCCTCATGGAGGAGGCCTCCTTCGATGGCACCTTCCTGTGGAAGATCACCAATGTCACCAGGCGGTGCCATGAGTCAGCCTGCGGCAGGACCGTCAGCCTCTTCTCCCCAGGTAACAGCCCCTCGTAACAGCGGCACAGAGACCCACTGGGGGAGGCAGGCCTCACTGGGCCCAGGAAACAAGCAGGGGGAGCAGCCAGCTCTGGGACAGCCGTGCTGTGTGCAGTGAGGCTAGTGTCCATTCGGGCCACCTACTGTGCTGAGACCACAGAGGAGGTACCGTATTTGCCGGCGTATAAGACGACTGGGCGTATAAGACGACCCCCTAACATTTCCACTCAAAATACAGAGTTTGTTATATACTCGCCGTATAAGGCTACCCCCTCTTCCGCACACCTTCCACACACCAAATAAAAGGTAAAACAATATCAGATTTGATTTGGCCCACTGAAGTGCAAACAAGCGTATTGTATTTCGTGTCACCACATAACCGTTTTGGCGATGTTGAGCCACCATGTCTGCTACATGTTTTTCGAGTTCTGGCCAGTGTGGGGTGCCTCTTCTTAATGCACACTTACCCCTTGGCATACTCTTTAATGCTTTCTCATTTGATTTCCAGTCCTGAACCATCTTTTCTGTTACTCCATATTGTCTTGCAGCAGCACAATTATTATTTTCCTTAGCAAAGTTTATAACTTTCAGTTTAAAATTTGCATCATACTTCTTTCTTTTGGCTGGTGCCATGATAGGGATGATAGGGGTTTGACTGGTCGACATTTTCTATGCTGTACTGTACAATGGTGCAGTATTGTGGTTGGCTGTTGGCTATATACAAAGCCTGATTTGATTGGTCCCTGCTCCCTGTTTGCCCGCCCTGTCACTATAGCAGTCTGGTCCACCCTTGCATCAGCATCTCCCTGGGACCTCACTAGTGCGCAAGTGTGAGCTCTTCAACATTCTAACAGGCACCATGATAGCGCAAAATCGCGAATCTTCAATGCATATGTAAAGAAATATACAGTAACCCGAATTTACCACACTTGCAAAATCGCACACAGCCGACCATACACCCAGTATGGTATCGCGATTCGCGATTTTGCGCTATCATACTGGGTGTATGGTCGGCTGTGTGCGATTTTGCGAGTGTGGTAAAATCGCATAACAGCAAAATCGCATAACAGCCGAGCATACACCCAGCAGCGCTGCTGATGCCTGAACGGTATGTGGAATGAAGTGGGCGGGCATCGGGAGGCCACTATGGCACGGGGCAAGCTCTATGGGCAGTCTATCTGAAGTGTACCTGGCGTATAAGACGACCCCCCACTTGGAGGCATATTTTTCAGGGCCAAAAAATCGTCTTATACGCCGGCAAATACGGTAGGTACCCGGCTCAACCATGTAGAGCATGGGCTATTTGAACTGGGCGCACCTTCTACTTCCAAGAGTCAGTTTCTTTCTGAAGATAGGGGTAAAATTGTTATTGACTTTGTGTGGATATCAGATGTGAAAGAGAGTGCAAATGAGAGGACACAGAGGACGATTCTCACCGGTGAGCACCATGGGACCCTGGGCAGCTGAAAGGGCCATGCAGTGTGGGTTCCAATGGCCCCAGAGAGCCAGTGGCTGAAATAAGACAAGTGGAGAACTAAGTGTGTGATTGTGGGTATTGCATCAGGGAATATTGTGTAAATCGGGGCAGCTCTTATTTATTTCTGGGGCCCCAGGGCCTGGCACAATGTCTTGCATAAAGTAGTTATTCGGTAGATGTTTCCCTTAATTAATTGATACCTGTTTATATAACAACATGTATATTTGTGTATAAAGTGCTCAGACCTGTGTGCCTCATTCACCTGTGGGTCATTAAGGAGGATTTCTGCAGGTGACGATATGAACGACCTGTCACCTTTGCCCCAGCTCCATACCTTTCCTGTCCACCACCTCCTCTGATGCGCCCAAGACCAACCGGGCTGGGATGAAGAGTAGCATCAGAACTTACTCCACACCACAGAGCAGGGCTGGGTCCCAAAGCCAGGCCCCTTTCCTAAGGAGCAGGGGCAGCTCCTTCAGTGGGGTGGTTTCACCTCCAAGAAAAGCGAGGCTTTTTCTCCTCGCTTCTTTCCAAAGAGGAACACAGCAAGCAGTGCCTCTAGCTTCCTGTTCTACCAGTACCTAAGGGGCAGAGATGAGTCACACTGTCAGTCTGTCCCTCCTCCACCCCTTCCTGCCTGTCTTCCCACACCCTGTCCCCATTCCCAGAAGGGCCCTTGTGGTGACAGCCGTTGGAATCTACACTGCATTGCCCTTTCAGCTGCCCAGGGAGAGAGGCCCCTGTGCTTAGACACCAGAGGGCGATTCATCCCTCAGGAGCTTTCGCCAAGGGTGCCCTGCAGAACTATGAGCTGCCCCACCCTCCCCCGGCCTCCCAGACCCCGACCACTTGGCCGAGGGTAGCAGAAAGCAGTCAGTGTTGGGAGGGAAGAAGCCTGGCCTCTAATCCTGGCTCTGCCCCCAGCACACTGTGAGGCCAGCCACTTCCCCTCCCTGGGCTTAGCTTCCCAACTGCAGAATGCAGGTCGGCTAAATAAAAAACATGGTCCCAGGGCCAACCGCATTCCCATCCCCTGTTAGGCATTCTCAGTCTTCCCCCAGTGTTAGAGTCAGAAACTCCAGGGGTGGGGCCTGGCCATGTATGATTCTGATGGCCAGTGACAGCCACCGGGCTAGCTGATCGCCAAGATCCGGGCCCTCTTCGACTGTATATGATACAGAAGAATGCTAGCTCCGCCCCGGATTTCTTAGTTCAGAGCCGTGACCTTGGGCATGTCTAGCTGCTGGTCCCAGTTCCCTCATCTGCAAAGTCCAGCTCTCCCCAGTTGCCTCTGTGCCGATTCTGGCTTCTGCATTTCAGCTTTCTACACATCCAAGTACGGCTACAAGTTGTGCCTGCGGCTCTACCTGAATGGGGACGGGGCGGGAAAGAAGACCCACCTGTCGCTGTTCATCGTGATCATGAAAGGGGAGTATGACGCTCTGCTGCCGTGGCCTTTCCGGAACAAGGTACGGCAGGGGAGCAATGGGAGTGGGCGAGGGAAGCCTGCATCCTGGTCCTGGTTTAGCTGTGAACTGGCGGTGACCCGGGCAAGTCCACTGCCCTTTCTGCGTTATCTGTTCCCCCGCCCCTTATAAAACAGGAGCCTGAGTTCACACCTAGTAGCCAAGGCTTCCTCCAGCATCAGGAGTCCAAGGGCAAAAAAGCCTGGACCAGCACCACTGAGAGGCATGTGGAGGGGAAGTTCACATGTTGGGTAAATGAGGAGAACTTCCTGGAGGAGGCGCTGTGGGGCTAGCCTGAACTGGCAGCCTTGTCAGAAAAAGGGAAGGAGACTGAGACCACTACACACCTGTTAGAGTTGCCAAAATCCAACACACCAACGCCACCAAATGCTGACGAGGATGTGGAGCAACGGGAACTCTCATCCATTGCTGGTGGGACTGCAAAATAGTACAGACACTTTGGGAGACAGTTTGGTGGTTTCTTACAAAACTAAACATACTCTTACCATATGACCCAGAAATCACACTCCTTGGGACCAAATCATTTGAAAACTTAGGTCCACACAAAAACCTGTACACAGATGTTTGTAGCAGCTTTATTCACAATTGCCAAAACTTGGAAGCAGTCAAGGTGTTCTTCAGCAGGTGAACAGATAAACTGTGGTACACCCAGGCCACTGGATATTATTCAGCACCAAAAAGAAATGAGCTATCAGGCCATGAAAATATGTGGAGGAACCTTAAATGCATAGTGCTAAGTGAAAGAAGCCCCTCTGAAGAGGCTACATACTGTATGATTCCAACTATATCATATTCTGGAAAAGGCAAAACTGTGGAGACAGTAAAAAGATCTGTGGTTGCCAGGGGTTGAGGGGGGAGGGGTGACTAGCCAGAGCATAGAGGATGTTTCATTCTCTCTATATTTTCCATTCAATTTTCCTGTGCACTTAAAACCGCTCTAAAAACTAAACTCTATTTAAAGTGTTTAAAAGGGTGGGAGTGCCACGGTGGTCTGGATATGAGTCAGTAGGTCAGTGGTTCCCACACCTGCTGGGGAAATTTTAAAATGACCAACAAATCCGTCTCACTACAATAAATGGTGTGGCCTGAGCATCAGGACTTTTAAAACTTTCCCAGAGAATTCTAAGCACGGCCAAGTTTGAGAAGCACTGTGGTGGGTGAAAGGAAGACATTTCATGTCCTGATGGGCGTTCCAGTGACATGTGCCAGGGGAGAGGGTTTGTGTCATTGAGATCATCAGCTTCTTGGGGGTACACATATCTGTCCTGTGCAGACAGAAGCTTCATGCACGTTTCCGGGCGTTGATTGACAGTGCCTCAGCAGAAGGCCTCTCTGTTTTTGCCCCCCCTTGCCTTACCCAGGAGGTTCCAGCGTAGCTGACGATCAAACATCTCAGAGCAGGAAAGGGCATTGTAGGTTATGAGTCCGGCTTCTTGTCAGTGCTTAGTCCCAACTTGAGCCCCCAGCAGCCAACAAAACTGACTGTGGCCTCCAAATCCCCCCTCTTGTGGATAGAATGGCTGATCCCTAGTCACAGGACAACCAGGTGTGGCCCTTACATTGTTTCTTTGGCTCCTGACCTGCCTGAGCTCAGGGTCAGAGGGGCTACACAAGTGGCAGACACAGACCCGGCTCTGAGCCGCTCGGTGCACTGCCCAAGACCCGGCCTCTCACCTGCCCCCGACCCCCTGCAGGTCACCTTCATGCTGCTGGACCAGAACAACCGTGAGCACGCCATCGATGCCTTCCGGCCCGACCTGAGCTCTGCATCCTTCCAGCGGCCCCACAGTGAGACCAACGTGGCCAGCGGCTGCCCCCTCTTCTTCCCCCTCAGCAGGCTGCAGTCGCCCAAGCACGCCTACGTGAAGGATGACACCATGTTCCTCAAGTGCATCGTGGAGACAAGTGCTTAGGGTGCTCAGGGCGGGCAGGGCCGCACGAGCTGCACCTGCATCCTCAGGGAGCACCAACCCAGACTGGGGTTCCAGCAAGATGCCTGAGGTCCTGCCCTTGGTGCCCAAGATCCCAGGGCACAGTGATGGGCTGGGGCTGGCATGACCTGAGCAGGGCTGACAGATTGACTGTGGCGGCTGTCGGCTTAGGGAGGCGGGACCTTGGGCTGGGCCCACAAAGGCAGAGGATCCAGAGGAGGTGGTGGTGGGATCGTTGCCTCTGCACTGACCAGCACTGGAAGCCCGGGAGTTGCTCCAGCCCTGAATGTTGAGGTGGACTCTGACCAAGATGGGGAGGGAATGGGGACCAGGCCTGGGGCATGGATGGTAGGCTAGAGATGTAGGACCTGAGCATGGGAAGGTCCCTACAGGGCCACCGTGGAGAAATGCCAACATGCTTGCTGTCTTCTGCCCAGGGTCAGAGCTAGGGGGTGGAAGAGACAGGGTGCTAATGTGAATTCAGTTTGTCCGGGTATGGGATGAGTTCCCCATCCCTAGAGGAAAACAAGCAAAGCCAGAGGCTATGCTGGGGGTGGGGGGAAGGTATCAAATTGGGGGTTGGATTTGAAAACCTTCAACGTTCCTTCCAGCCCAGAAAGTCTCTAATTCTAGGCCTCCTGGCCCAGGTGAGGCCAGGAGCTGCAGGGATCCTGGGAACTTCCGGGTTCCTCACTCACCTTCAGTAGCACCAGGTGGGCTGAGCTGGCTCACACCTGCCACCCAGGCCTGGCAGCTCAGCGTCCGCACATGCAGAGGCACACACGGACGGGCCCTGCGTCCTGGGCCTCCCCAGCCAAGCTCCCCTCCACGTCCTCCAGGTAATGAGCTCCTAGGGGCATCCGGAAGGAACGTGAAGAAGCAGAGAGGAATAAACTCCCCACTCCCTGCCTGGGGGCCCCACCTTCCTCGCTCTCCAGAATCCCGTGTCACCTGGTTAACCAAGGTATTCCCTGCTCGTTCATTTCAGGGCCTCTGAACCACTAGCAGAGGTTGTCCTTTGAAATCTGTATTAAATCAAAGAAAGAATTTTTTAAGAAACCTCTTTTGAAGTTGTCATGCAGTGTATGGTGGTAGAAGTTGATTGTAACTGAGCCAAGTTTGAAAAACACCCTTGCTGCGCTTTTGGTGCTGCTGCCAGTTTTGCAGGTAACGTCCAAGGCTGGTGTGCTGGCAGGGACATCCCTCTCCGCCTCAGTCTTCTCCTCTCTGTAATGGGGAGAACCACCCCGGCCTGCCTCCTCGCTGGGTTCTGTGGATCACAGGAGATGCTAACAGGAGAGGCTGGAGGGAGCCAGGCCCGGGCACCACTGCCTGCCTGGCCTGGCCCGGCTGTGGCCCACGCTTGTCTTCTCACCTTGGAGGCCTCACACAACTGATTCCTACGGGGACCCTCGCCCAACTTTCCAGACACCCTGAGGCTTCATGCTGCTGCTCAGAGCTCCAGGTCAGAACCTCACTCCTTGCCCCTCGCCCCCCACCCCAACTTCAGCCTTTCCTGCAGCTTAACTCTTCCTCTACTTGCAAGGCCATGACCAGCCTCCCGGCTCACACCCTCAGGGTTTGCTCTGTAAAATGTGTTCGCAGCCCTGCCTGTTCTCCTTAGGCCAGCATCTGTGAGAAGGTCTTCACAAAAAAGAGGAGGGAGCCTCCCAGCTCAGCGGGCTCAAATATCAGAGAACTCAGATCTAACCTGAGTCCAAACCTGGTATCCCGTCCTGCCTCAGCCTCTTCATTTGAAAACCGGGACACATCCTGCCCGGTCCTGCCCAGCTCACAGGGTTTTCCCGAGGAGCACGAGCGCTCTGTAGTGCGATGACATTTTGCCATGCGTGACAGGCTACCAACCTGTCAGGGCTCCTTTTCCTTGTCCCCACTGCTGACAGCCTGTCACTAATGGAGACTGACTTGCTTCCTTGACAAGTGTGAATAACAAGGGAAGGTCTGGCCTTGCAACCTATGGGGACTTCTGCCTCAAGCCGGTGTTCTGGCAATAACATCTTCATCCCTACTCACTGAGCCCCAAGCTAACAAGGGATCCGTAGGACAAGCTACTGCTAGGGACAACTATTACTCTACACTTTTAGTGGCTTATTTCTTGTGGGCAGTGACACAGGCTTTCTTCAAACTGTGTGGGAGGCAGCCATTCTTTCAGTAAAGATTTATTGAGACCTGTGCCAGACCCTAGGGAGGGAGAGGTAAGATATGTACCCTACCCTCAAAAAACTCTTCGTTCAGTGTGGGAAACCAGTATGTAAATAGATCGTTGCAACTGATACATAAGAGACCCTCAGAGAGAGCATAGGATGCCAGACCCATTGGATGAAGCAGGGAGGGCTTCGTGGAAGAGGTGGCAATTAAACTCAGCCTTAAAGTATTTTGAGATGCAGAAGACAGGTGTGGGGGAGAGTAAAGTTGCGGAGATGGGAAGCAGTCTTGGCTTGGGGTATGGTCTGTGAGGTGGAACCACGGAGGAAAAGACGGAAAGGTAGGGTGGGCTGGAGCACAGAAGGCACGGAAGTCAGTTCCATCTGCTGGAAAGTAGCAGCATGGGGCGAGGGGATTCCCAGGTCAACTGTGGGTGACCCTATGAGCTGTTAACAGCAGGATGAGGCAAGGACTTTAAACATTTACTAATTTATCTTCCAACAAAGCCCTATGTTAAGTGCACCAAACACCTAACATCTCACCTCTTTAGAAGGATAAAATGGAAATAACACTAATATGTAAAAAATATTACTAATATATAAACTATTTACCTTATTGAGGTGCTACAGGTATTAAAAAAAGATATTTAATATAAACTCCAGCTTCAGAGTCCTGAAGAAGTAGTAGTGTCTTTCTCCAACCCCCTGCTTGCTTCACATCTTACTGCAATAGCTAAAGCTTTCAGATTAAAAAAGTTTAAATAATAGTAATATTTAAACTATTTAAAAGTAAATATCCATATTGGGTTTCTTATTTTAACTAGAGAGTTTCCAGCGTTTTACCCAAAAATCCTGTTGATCAAGCAATCATGCCATTAAAGCTATTACATAAACACAACACGAAAATCACAGACTCCTCTCTAAGGCAATCACTGTCCCTTAAATTTGAAAATTCAAAAACCTCTGACAATTTTGTTTGTCAATTACATATCAATGAAGCTGAAAAAAAAAAAAGCTTGCTGGGGGTTTCTATGCTTTGTTTTGTTAAGGATTGTCAGTTCCTTACTTTATGAGTCTTAGTAACCCTGGGATCCAAATGAGAAAACGCCAGGAGGTCAGGCCAGACTAAGGCTTCAGCAGGGCTCCCCGCCCTCTGGAGCTTGGATAGAAAGGGCCGGGCTGGAGTCCTTGACCCTGGTCTCAGACCCTGACCCACTCTTTCCTAGCTGTGTGACCTTAGGCAAATCCCATCACCAGCTCTGAGCCCAATCTGTCACCATGGGCAAAGATGGAGAACCAGCCGCTGGCTGTTGTTACAATGTAAGATGCTGACCCCCAGGAGGCTCCCAGGAAAACGATGCTCTGGTGACTTCTGTGCCAGGCTTATTTAAGGGGGAGAATCCCTAAAGCCTTCTACCAGTAAGTCACTTGTTGGGTGTTCACCCAGCAAATCCTGACGTCCACTGTGCTTAGTTTTGGTAATCAGTGGTCAACAATCTAAGTGCGTAAGGCTGTGGGAGACACAGTGAACACAAATACACGAGCCTCCTGGAATGAGGGGCTTCCAGGGCCTAAAACAGGAGCGGCTGGTTGCCAGGGCCCCTTGGGTCCAGGCTCAGGCTACTCAGCACCCACAGCACATGGAACGCAGTGAGCTGCTTTTGTATCCCCAGCACATGGGGCTGCTCTCCCAGGCGCCTCTTCCTGGACTGTTCCAGTCCCTCCCGAGGCAGTGGGAGCCTCCCAGCCGATAAGGGCCTCCTTCCACTGTCTTTTACCAGAGCAAGGCCAAGGCCAGCGAGGGGAGGGAGCATAACTGGAGCCCACACTTACTCTACCGGGGGGTTGTCACTGACCCTCAGCAGCTTCTCCAGCAGCCCCTCCTGCCCGCTGGGACAGGGAGCTGGCCTGAAGAGAAGGGGCCAGGCGGCCCCAGGGGCCACTGGAATCACAAGAATCCGGTTGTTTTGTTGTAGAAAAGTCATAAAAACATTTAAAATAAAAATCCTAAAATTGGCTTCAGAGCCCCTACCAACCTTTCCAATCAGGTTTTCCTTCACTTTGTCTTTTTTTTTTTAAAGATTTTTATTGGGGAATTGAGGGAGGGGAACACACAAGTTTCTGTCCTTTTGTTCTTCAGTCTAGTGGAGAATGTCGCTTCACTGGCCCATGTTGGTATTATCATTGTGCTCTTCCTGGGTGAGGCAGATCAGTCCCCAGGCCCTGGACGGCCGCTCACAGCAGCTCACGGCAGCTCACGCTGGCTGCTGGCTGCTCATGGTAGCTCACGGCAGCCCACTGCAGCAGATGCTGCAGCCTACGCCATCGCCAGCGACTCACGGCAGCCCAGCTCCAGGTTGAGCTGTTGTTCACCATCTTAGCTGTAGAGGGTGCAGCGTCACTGGCCCTCATGTGGAATCCGAACCTGGGCCCTGCTGCTCAGAGCTGGCGTCCCAAGCCAACTCTTAATGAACGCGCCACTTGGCTGGCACCCTTCACTTTGTCTTATTTCTCCTCCTTGCTGGAGCCTTGTCTTGGGGTGAGCTGTTGTTCACCATCTTAGCTGTAGAGGGTGCAGCGTCACTGGCCCTCATGTGGAATCTGAACCTGGGCCCTGCTGCTCAGAGCTGGCGTCCCAAGCCAACTCTTAATGAACGCGCCACTTGGCTGGCACCCTTCACTTTGTCTTATTTCTCCTCCTTGCTGGAGCCTTGTCTTGGGGTCCATGACTGATTCCATGGGGATCACAGAACAGTATTAGGTCATAGCTGACCCTCAAATGTTGGTTTGGCGAATGACCAAATGACTGGGCGAGGGGATTTCTGAGCACCAACCATGCACCAGGCACACTCCCACATGAATCTCACGTTCCTTACAGAGCCCACGGCCATAGCATCGTCCCTGTTTACAGATGAGGAGGCTGAGACTCAGAACGGGACCCCAGGCTTCGTGCTCCCCACCACTCCAGCGGTCTGCAAACTGGCTGTGCATCCCTGAGGGCTGGCTAAAACAGAATGCTGGGCCCTCCACCCCGATTTTTGGAGTCTGCAGTTCTGGAGTGAGGCAGGAGAATTTGCATGTATGACAGGTTCCCCCTGATGCTCCTGGTTCATGACCACACTTTGGAAACCTCTGACCAATGATGCCCCGTCTGAAAAAATTTCAGCACTTAGGCAGAGCATAAATTAACCGTTGGCCACTTCCCATGGCAAAGATCTGTGATGAATTGCCTTCACTGTACAGATATTAGAGGGTTCTATTCCTGACTGTTGCACTGATGTTCCCCCCTCAGAGGAATGCCCCCCAGACATTGCATTCAGTCCTCTGTGAGTGCTCCCCCTGAATGCCACAGGACAGAAACTCCTTAAAGGGGGGTGTATCCATCGAGCAACCAGGCAAGTGACCGCATATGATGAATTTGCTTCCTTAAGTAATCCCTTAAGGAGAGACACGATGGAGGGCTATGGAAGGAGCTGGAAAACTTGGAGAGAACTACCAGAGGCTTCTAAAAGGGGGATGTGCAGGGTTAGGGCTGGAGAGTTGAGTGATGGGGGAAGCAAGACAGGGTCTTTGGCACCTGCGCATGCTCGGAAGAAAGTGATGGGGTGGCCGCAGACTTAGACAGGAAGCTCCCTGCGGGCAGCACTGTCATCAGGGGTGCTCTAGGTTGTGGTTAACAGAGCTGGGACAGAGAGCTGAGGAAAGGGAGGGTTTCCTGGGACACATTTCTGTTTTATGCCCCCAATGGGTACATGTGGCTTCTTTGTCAGACTCTAGCAGGCTTGAGCAGAGTGAGAGTATCCTCACTCATGCTGCCACATTATTAATTAGGCTGTGAAATAAAGACATCATATATGAGGGTGTTTTTATTAATAATCACAGCTGTCATT